TGACGAGATGTGGTGTACAAAAGGGCCTTACAAGGTCATCACCATCGCGATCGTCCATTTCAACTCATTCATGACTCATAAGGAAGAACAGAGACGCGAACTGGTGAACGCGTTCCTCAACGAGATTCTCCCTTTTAAACCGGATGTAATAGCGGGAGATCTCAATAATATTGCGTCGAGGCTCACCTTAAAAGGTGGAGACGTTCACCCGCGAAACAGTTTGTTTTCTCTATACCTGGAGAAGAAACTTGCAGCATTCAACAAAATAGCAGGAAGGCACTCACAAGTGCGACATCTTTGCTTGAACAACTCCGACCAGCACAGACTGGCACGTGCAGATCGTCTACCGGCGGACCCGGCGAAGAAAGTTGCTGACCTTGACTGTATCAACAGTTATATCCTTGACTGGAGTAAAACGCCGCACACGGCGTCACCTAGTCCAAGAGATGTCACACCTGCCGCCGAAAGAACATACTGGGAGCGAATCTCAGATATGTGGCAGGACACGAACAACAACAGGGATATTGATATCCGTCTGTTTGTCTCAGTCAAGCAGTACTATTCAACTTTTTCTAACCTTGACCTATGGTTGAGTCCCTCTGACAAAGATTGGCACAGCCCTTTGGGCTTCACGATACAACCAATCCTTACAAAAGGGAAACACAACCGGTCAGATGCCCAGGTCCAAAAGATCGCTGACAAGCGAAAGGCTTACAAGCAGCGTAATGCTGAATACTGGGGTTACAACGATTCATTCGTTTACTCATCCGGCAACAGCTGGTACGACAAATCGCAACCATCAGGTAGCCATCACAGATATGGAAGATTCTGGGAGTGGCCACAGCCTGAACGTCCCAGCGAGCCTGAAGGTCCTCCTCCAAGAAGGAACCAGGAATCATCGTCCTCTTCACAACAAGATCTACCAAGATCAAGGTCCAGGCCTCAAAGAACCAATATTGTTGACAAGCTCAACATGTCTTTGGAAGAGCTGGATGGACTAGAAGAAGAACCGTCACCAACAAAAAGTGACATCGAAGAACACGAAAGAGAAACATCAAACTTGATGTCTGCTCAGAGAGATGAAGAGGAACAAGAGGACGAATCCTCCAGCCGGAGAAGAAGAAGGAAGGCATCGCGTCCACCGTCTGCTCCGAGCGGCAAGGCACTCAGAACAGCTGCTACAGCAGCGGGATTGTCGGGCTGGTTCGGACACCGCAACCGAGGTGGAGCAAACGCAGAGTCTATCAAGACTGATGAAACTTCACTTCCAAACTCACTAACCAGTGAGCAGGACTTCTCCGTCTTCAGCATCGCGTGGAATGTGTTCTTGCTGCTAATGGGCTTACACTGGATGTGGAAGCAGATTACCAGGCCTCCTATCAGATGTATGGAGCGCCAACAACCAAAATCAAAAGCAGCAGCGAACCAAAGAGTTCCATTCCTCGAACCCGAGGATGAACCGCAGACGCGTGAACCTTTAGGACCCAACAGGGTCAATTCCGGAGAAACAACTGATCTGCGACCTATCTGGCATACTTCCCGAAGCGAAGTCTACCATCTCTCAGACAGCTGTTACCAGCTCAAGCAAGCAAGAGATGTTTGCAAGAAGGTGCTATGTAAAAACTGCCTCCATGCAGTACAAGTTGCGGAGATTCGCAGGAACGATCCTTTCCAAAGAGGTGATACACGACCACGTGGCACCGAAAGAGACATTGAGCGCTTCCAGACCTACGATGATGCAAGTAACACTCCTCATATGACACAATTATTCAAAGATGCCTTGCATGCACAAATGGCCGAAGAAGCCATGCAGATTACCTATACATCGATCCCCAAGGGATCCTCGGCAAAGGCCAGAGGTACATCTGCACTCTCAAGTGCCGCATCGTCATCAGCGCCCAAGGCAATGCCACCAGGGCCTAACAAGGCAAACATATCACCTCCACCTAAGAGTCCTCCGCCAAAGGCGAAAGGAACAGTACCTTCTGATCCTCCAAGACCAAAAGGTCCTACCAGAAGAGGAGGTCAAAATCGGCGCATTCAACGAAAGGCAGCTAGAGAAGCCCACAACAGTGGACTCTGCACCTATGCAGACGCTGCACTTAACGAAGCCAATCAAGGCCAGGCAATTAACGTTACGTGCCGAAACATGGCAGCAAGACACGTCAGCTCTATCGATGCAACGGTAGAAGCAGCCGGCCAGTTTACACAACGCGTGCTACAGCACGTAGAAACATATGATGAAGAGGAACCGTGGAGCACGGAGTTCCTACCAGTCGTGGAAGTCCTATTCAGGAACTTAAGCGGCGACGAAACAACTGTCATACATGACAATCAAACGGTAACTATGCCTCTTGCGAAATACACAGACCTCCTCAGAATCGCACAATCATTGCGAAGCTCTATCCAGAGAGACAAGGAGGAAAGGAAGGAACATCTTGACACCATCCAAGATACTCTATCCAGAGTGGAAATCCTTCTAACAGCACTGAAGGACTCAAGGACAGTCTTTAACCAATTGGTCCATTCCTCACTAGAGATAGAGCGAAGAAATAACAATCTCAAAAATGTCCTCGAGACACTCTTTGACGACCAAAGCTCTGAGGAAGACCAGTCAGAATCTGACAATGAAGAAGTCCTAACTCCTTCTGCAGCACAGTACTGGAATAGCCTTTATGCCCACGCCTTATCTCCTTCAGGAGATGAAAGTGAAAGATCATGGGCGTCCTCAGACGGACAGCTTGAAAGAAGAAGGGCTGAACGGGCAAAGGCTAAGCAGCCGCAACCGGCAAAAGCCAAGGCAACTCCAGTCAGCTCACAAGCTGCTCCAAAGGCCGAGCCAAAGGCGACAACATCCAACCATGGATATGATACTGCAGACGCCGCCTTCACCAGGGCTGAGAACAGATTACTCGGAATCTTTTCAAGTTCCGAAGAAGACCACTCAGACCCGGATGAGCCACATCCGAACGTCTATGCTCGAGCCTATGATCCAACCCTGGATCCGAATCTGAGATAAGAAAATTCTCAGAGTTTCACAACAGTGAATCACAAGGCTCTAACAAGAGCACAATGAAGGGCTGCATAATTCGGTAGAAGAACATTACCAGACCTGATCCTGTACAGATGATCTCTCTGACCAACATGCATGAGTGTGTGCAAAAGGAGTGACCTCAACAGTGTACTTCAGTGCTATACCTAGCATAAACAATATGCTGTTTTTATCATGAGTCCAAACTCCGCAACTGTGACAGTGGGCATAATAGTATATGTGTGAATGTGCGGCCATGCTTCCGGTAAAAGAAAATTAGTGTCTGTTTGAAACCATAAACCTCTAAAGGGGTAGCTCTAACAGGTACCTACAGCAATGGCTGCATGCTCATACATATACATTCCGCTGCCCATTGGCTCACAGTGGTTTTACCATATTGAGACAAGACAAGCTCTCCTTGCGTAGCAAGACAAAACAACTACTGTCCGTGTGCAGGGCGCTGCCCTTTGATCCTTAGGGAATAACTGGTCATACACCTCCTCACAAGGAGTATCCCTTGGGGGTGTATCGGCACAGGGGGGGGGGGGGAGGGGGGGAGGGGGGGGAGGGGGGGAGGGGGGGGAGGGGGGGGAGGGGGGGGAGGGGGGGGAGGGGGGGGGGGGGGAGGGGGGGGGAGGGGGGGAGGGGGGGAGGGGGGGGGAGGGGGGGGAGGGGGGGGAGGGGGGGGAGGGGCGAAGCAAGAAAAAAGCAGCAGTCAGGCACACTATCAAGCCAAAGATCTGCTCTGCGACCTGTGCCATTCATGAACATGGAGTGAAACATGATAGGCCCTGTGCCATCCGCGCTATTTCGCCCAAACTGCAAGCAGTTCGAACTCCCCCACCGTGCGGTTACACGGGAACAATTTTGCTTAGGAGCAGAGCAAGTCTGCTTAGCAAGTGCATATCTCCCCCGGAATTGGGACGGCCAGCTGGTATATGAGCAAATTGGCGTGCCTGTATCACCACTGAGTGCGAGAAATGACTGAGACTCTGTGAGCCTCAACACAGATTTGACAGCGCTCCCATGTGCAACCTGATCCAAGAGAATGGAAAATGGTTGCGAAGCCGCTTGAGCTGGTAGCGCTTCGTGGTCGTAGTAGCAGCAGTAGAAGGAGTAGCAGTAGCAGTAGCAGCAGTAGTAGTAGTAGTCGTCGTCAACGTCGTAATACCAGTCGTAGTATTCATTCATTCACCTCGCTGCACCGGGTCGATGCGTCACGAAAAACAGGTGTTCCACGCCCGGCAGCCTCATGGCTGCTTAGCCATTTGGCTAATCCTGTAGAGCTATGCCAAGTCAAAAGGCTCAGAAGAGCCGCATGTTCAAGCAATCTCTGGACCGAACAATCGTAGTCGTAGTAGCATCAGCAGTGGCAGTTACCAGTAGTGCTACTGCTGCTGCTACTACAACTACTGCAAAAAATTGAAATTATTAATACTGGTACTTGTGGTACCACTACTGCCAGTAGAGGCACACCAGCAGCAGCACTAGTGGCAGTAGCAAAGGCAAGTGCATGAGCAGTGGCTCTTATCGTTCTGTGTCTAGCATGAATCAAGCCACATTAAAGCACTAGTTGCAGCTAGCAACAGCAGCACTTGTGCAAACCATACTGAAGCGCACCGCCAGTTCACTGCTTTTTTTTGCCCTCTGCGAAATGAGCCTGTCGAGCTGCGAGCCCAGTAGCCTTTTGCTTCTGGCGAGACTGCAACATCTGTTTCATCAGCTGTGCTTCATCAGTGCACTTTCGGCCAAAAACGTCGAACAAACGACAATGCCAATGTCGTCGAAAAAACTTACTGCCCCTGATACAATCGCGGTCGCGTCCTACTTTGTTGACTGCCTGCCTGTCCTAGACTCCAACAGTCTCTCACCGATTCTAACTAAGCACAGGTGGACCGACTGGCAAGGCCTCGCAAGGCTTGCATACCTTTCCCACCGCTGAGCACACGCCTCGATGTGCTCCAGGAATTTAATGGATCGTGCAACACTCATCTGCCTGCGACATGATTTTGCTCACATCAGCGCGGCCGTGCAGCCTGAGCATTTACTGGCTGCAATGATGTGCATACTGACCACCAAAGCAAGGTGACTTGAGCAGTTGATTCCGGGCCTTGTGCGCGCATGCTCATGCAATCGGGCCGGCTGAATGAAGGCAAGTCACCCTTGCAAGAATTTGGCCTGTTGCATTGTCGTGATGGTCCCAGGCCGGCACATGCGTAACCAAGGTAAGAGAAGCCTCGACCATTTCAACAAATGCCCGCGCAAGCAGCCACTCTGACATCGCGCCGTATTATGCTCGACTAGAGGCTCGCCGGGAACATCAAATCTCTGGATGGCGAGGACGGCAGCACAAACGCCAGAGCGCCCAAAGCCCGCCTGAACGGCTGCGTTTGCAACCACTAATCATCGACCAACACTTTGGTTTTCCTTGGTTTGGTTTTTGGTACTTGCACTTAGGTCCAACGCCCTGGGCATCTGCAAGCATGTTGGAAAGTCGCGCGATGTCGCCGTAACTCGCTGCTGCAATATTTTGACCAGCCAAATCAGGACAACACTTAAAGCCAGCAGTCTGGTCAGCCCACCTTGCAGTGAAAAGCTATGGCCTTGTCTTGGACGCCGTCACAACCATCTATGACTTTCTTCAGCACGTCCTGGATCTCTGCTGGACTGCAACTGCATCTGTTAGGTTAAGTCCTTGCCGCCTTGCCTTTGGAGGTACACCTCCCTGCGTGTCGTCGTAAGCTGCTTGAATATGGGTCATACCCAGTTCCACGAACAGGTTTGGGTCATAGCTCTTGTTGAGACCTCGGCATGCAAATGTCGAACGCTCTACTTGCAAAACCGTTTCGGTGCATCGGTGTAAATGTCATCTCGCTGCATGTGAAACCTGCCTGATTCTCTGTCCTTGTTCAGTCGCACCAACGTGGTGACTTCGTTGGACTCGAACCAAGAGAAAAAGTTCGGCGAGTCTGGAGGGACGAGATGACTGGCTGTGGCAGGATCCGGGTCCAATGCAGTCGTGACCTAGCCGAGAAGCACTCAGTGATTCTCCGCACCTTCGGAGCTACGACTGGGGGCCTCGCGGGATCAGCAAAAAGAAGAATTTGGCCAGGAATGACCCAAGCAGCATCCCACTCAGCACACAAATCAGCGAATGCCTCAGCTCTTGACTCTCTGCGAACGACTTGAACTCGTCGCAAAGCAATGCCAAGCAACTCGCGAGTGAAAACGCTCCACCTCCAACCATTTCCGCCTCTCGTGGCCCCGATCGCTGGAAGAATCACGACACCACGCCGCACACAAGCTATATAGCTAGATGCGCTGGGTTGCTGCACCTGATTGCCAAGTCCAACGCCTCCAAACACTTTTGCAGAGAGAGCTGTCTGGGAGGCGCTGGCTTGTGCAGTGGAGCCCAGGAATGCTGCCTCAAAGCTTTGCTAGGCAAGCGATCTCGTAGGATTGCTGCAGTTGGCGCGCACACACACACAAAAGACATCACAAGACACTTTATGCAACCATGCTGGCGTTCCACGTACTCCAAAACAATCCTGAACAAGGAGCCGGAAACCGATTTCATGCCCAGTCCAAACCGACACTGCGGCGTCCAGGGTGCATCCTCTCCTCGGGTTGCAGCCATTACTGTGCGAAGATTTTGGATCAATGCGCGTTGCAACTTGAGGTCAGCGTCATCAGCAAGGGATATGCAGAGGTGCAGAGTGCCGAAAAGGCCCTGTGCGAGGCAAACTTCTCGCCAGCGGGACACACCACCAAGACTTTCTTCTTAGCCTGGTGCAAGGGGTTCGATATGAACCGAACAAGTGAAAGGCAGAACTAACAATAGTGCCTGCAGCTTCTCATGAAGGAAGCGACTGGACTCCACAATTTGGTCAAGAGCTGGCGGTCCGTCATCGTGGTAGTATCCTTGGGAGGTTAGTTGGCTAGCTTACAATCTTCCGCACACACTACGAACCGCCAAAAGCAAGCGGTTGCTTAAAACTTGCGCCCATTTTATACCGTATCTCAAGCTGCCAAACCAGGCGACCATCAACGACATAGTGTGGCACTTGGTAAGCACCCTTGCGCGCGCATGGTTCGTTGAGAAAGCAAACCACATCAACATCTCCGGATTCGTCAGTCACCTGGAAAGGAATCGGGATTGAAGCCTCTCGTGCACATGAACCGTGCTTCTTCTGCATGTCGTGGTACATCCTTTGTGACTGTGTGGCGCGCCGTGGGCTTCCACGTGCCGTTGTCCTGCACGCAGGCCACGTCATCTGCCCAGCGCAGATCTGCCCCCAGCACGTTCACAATCGGCATGGGCAAACAGCAAAAGCAAGCAGCAGGTTGAAGTCTGTGGCAGAAAACTCTGGTAAAGAAAAGCGTCGCGCTGTGGGTTGGTGGTTCTATGATTGCAGCTTCAGACACTAGCCGCTACCCTGCGGCTTGAGTAGCAGAAAACGGCAATGGTGGAACACGGCTCCGCATGCCTCATCTTGCCTCCCTCGCACATGCAAGACTCTCACAGACAGAGAGAGAGAGAGAGAGAGAGCGAGCGAGCGAGCCGGACCTACTCAGGGGGACAACCTTTCAGGGGGACAACCTTTCAAGTGCTGTTTTGATTCGTCGTCAGCTGAAACCGCATGAGTGGACAACAAACCCTTGACATGTGATTGCCACGATTACCTCGCTCGTTGATTGAGATGTTAGGTTCAAAGGGGAACAGTCGTGGGCAATGCATCCTTACTACAGACTTTCTGACCGTGGAGCTTGTATCAACGAAGTTTGCCTTGAGCATATGAGTCCACCTGACAAACGTAGCGTGTCGGCAGAAACATGCTTGAAACCCCTGGAACTTTTATATACCAATATACTGAAGCAAACCTTCGGGGGAAGATCAAGTATGGTGTCACGCTCCCACAAAGCCCCATAAGAAATGGGGTGGGGGGGCCATGAGCCCGGAAGGTTTGAACGCCCCTCATGCCCTGCTGAAAAAGAGAGACAGAGACGGAGGGAGGGAGGGAGGGAGGGAGGGAGGGAAGGAGGGAGAGACACAGAGACATAGAGACACAGAGAGAGGGAGAAGGAGACGGATACGGAGAAGGAGAACAAGAAGAAAGAGAAAGCAGGAGAGAGGGAAAGCGGTGAGAGAGGGAGAGCTGAAGAGAGGGAGAGGGAGAGAAAGGGCCGGAGGCTGTCTTGATGGTTTTCGGGCGCAATTAGACAGATTGTCCGAGACTGTTGGCTACACTAGACCCACGACAATCTTTATTGTTGCTGGCACCTCCTGGCGTGGAGCAGGGAATGGAACAGCTCTGCTTGCAGCTGCCTCGTGGCGATGCAGCAGCGGCTCGATCATGCAGCACTATGACTATGAAGCAAAGGTTGAGAAGGTGTTTCAGGCAGAACTGTGATTCACAGTGATGCCTTGGCGAGGCCAAGCGTAAACTAAGCACATTCGGCCTCACTTCCAACACTTATCACTCATCATCAATACTTCCAAATCCTACAGTTTCTCATCTCATGTTGACATCAAGCAACGTAAGCGATCTCGACTGGCCCCTCGACCGACACAGTTCAGATGTTCAGCCAGTTTTCTCGCTACTTGCTTCGCAGAAGTGTCCGAGCTGCAGGCATTCATGAATCGGCATGCATTCCTTGGTGCAGTTTTTGGTGTATAGAGATCATCTTCCACAGGCTGCATGCATCCAGGTGACTCTGTTTCACATGTCTAGCCGAGGCAGGGCCAGGAAACGTCAAATGCAGCTGTTTGCGCTTGGAAGCCTTGGTTTGCCTTTACGGTTGCTTCACGATCTGTGCTGCATCTGGTTGTTGTGACATGGGGATCCTGAGCCAGTGCCGGCCCCTCACAGAACGCGAGGTTTGCTGGCGACTGTGAAGCAATACTCAACAGAGATAGCTTCTTCAATGGCACCCTCTTTTGTCAGCCTCTGTTATCTTCAACGCATCGTCCACTATCCTTCCGGAATTGGATCTGCGCCCCTCGCTGTTGGATTCCTGGCAATTGGAGTAGACAGGGTGATTTTGAGTTGCTGGCTGTGGCGATTCAAGGCCCCAGTCAACTACCCAGAGTGATTTGTGTCCTTGAAGGTTGGCAACATTTCTGGCTCCTGCGGCTGAGGAACCTCCCATTGCGCACACCGCTTTGCCAGTCTGCATGGGAGGAAAACGCCTGCCTCCACAAAGTACCCGTGCTGCTGGGCAACTTCAGCGGAAGAGCGCCTGCAGGCAATGCTTCGTTGCGTCACGACCTCCAGAAAGTAAGCGTGCAGGAAGCCAAGAAGGCCTGTCTGGGCAAAGCTGCAAAAGGGATTGCAGCAAGTCCAAACCCAAGGCCGATAGCCTTCCATGCTCGGCAAGAACCTCCCAGCCTTGCGAGATGCAAACCACGTGTCACGAATTTCTTTCACGGAAAACTTCACATAGGGGGGACGTTGATGGATATGTGATGCCGGGCCGGAGCTCCCCCGCCTCCCGCCAACCCATGGTATCCCCCCGCCCCCCTGTGGTGTGGTGTCTGTGGTCTTTGGCTTCGTTGTCTCCCTCTCGGTGGTGGTGCCTTTGTTAAGGTATGCAGTACCACCGGCCCTTAGCTCAAGTTTGAGTCTAAGCGCCCCACCATGCCACCAAGCAGAAGCTGCAATCTTGTCTAACTTGTCGCATGCTGTGCTGTTGTACTTAGATTGGATTGGGTGCTGACCAGCCAGCAAACCTACACAGGTATGCTTGCAGCTATTTGTCAATAGTTGTATTGTCATACTTGCTGCGATTGCTACTGCTACTACACTGGAGGCAGCGGTTTTCCCTCCTTGCCGTTGCTGAGAGTGCATCTGTCGCTGTGGTTTAGCCGTCGTCTGGTGCAATGGTGGAGCATGCATTAACACCCGACGCCTCCTCTCCCCTGTGGTTTGGGCGGTGGGTTCTGTTCCGGTGCGAACCGTGTTTTGCAACTTGCCCCTGCAAAAGCAAAGACAATCATGCAAAGCACGATATCGTTGGGAAGTTGCCCCGCATGTCGAAAACTTGCGAGAGTCAGGGGAAATGTGACAACAAAAAATCCCAATCCCAGCGACAATTGGCGGTTTGACAGCGATGTCAGTCCTATCCTCCGAAAACGAAGACTGTCACGAGGATCGTGGCCCCAACCAGCTCGATCCCTGTGACTATTGTCGCGGACAGCCCTGGGAAGGCTAGAGGGGGCGGGGGATACCATGGGGAGGTGGTGGGCGGAGGGGTAGCAGCCCGGGACCCGAGACCATATATACATAATCAAGTACCTACAGCGTATGTCATGTTGCCATGTAGGGGATGCAGTTTTGCATGTACGCGGGGTAGCCATGCAGACACGTGCGAACCGGGCTGCATCGGGCTGCTTGCTGTCGGGTGCGGTTGAACAGACAGGCCCGTGCACGCCGCACCGACACAAGCACACAGCGCACTGTAGACTGTGCGGTCGATGGGCGTTTTGTGGGAACATTTGGAGATGCATGCAAGGATGCATGCAATGCCTGTACAAATGCACGCATGCACGCGCATGCTGCCAAGCTACACCAGTACAAGGGCTGCACGCACCCATAGGGGCCATCGGGCGAATGCTATTATTGGTTTGCCTGTTGTCATATGTTGTCATCACCAAATGAGAGCTTGTGGTTGCAGAGCATTGGTGGCGGACATCATAACTGGCCGTGGCTTTTGTACAGAGAGACCGGTGGCCTAATAGCAGCCATGCTGGCTTCCTGAACCTTGACACCAGCCACCACCGTGGTCCGAAGATTGCGCCGTCTGCCAATGTGTTGCCGCAAGGTCACTGTGAATCGTGTTGGTAAACAAGCAATGCAACAAGAATACTAGGCAGTCTTGACTTGAAAGCAGTACTGGGTCCAGTACATTTTCGCTCGAACCTAACGGCTAGCATGATACCCCACCAATCCGTCACCACAACAAAAAAAGTCGCCTCATACAAGCCTGCCCCCCACCTGTACAACGTGCAGTAAAACAAAACATGAAGCAGTCCGCGAGCACGACGAACAAGCGTAGAAGCTAAATAGAGGAATCTAGGAAGCTGACCGACTCCACCCACTTTGGCCCTTACGAGTTCATTCCACACCCGCTCGCCCGACTTCGATGTCTTGCAGACCACCGCAAGGATTTCGCTGCTCGCGCTGCCAGGCCTGGAAGGAGATCTTTGAAGCTGTCTGCCAGTTTCCAGTTGGGCAGTTCCTGGCATCCCGGCCAAGATTCCTGCCAGAGACTTCGATGGGTTCTGGACGGCACGCTTACTTCGATTCTGCAAAGCCTGCTATGCTGCAGTCCTCACTGGGCAGGCCGGCCAAGCCGAATATCAAACCCAGCTGATGCAGCTCTGCCTTCCCCTGCACAAGCGCAACAGATTGTAAGAGCAGCCGCCTCCTGACGAAGGAGCCGTCTTAGTCAACTCCCGGGGAACCGAAGCAGCTTCCAGCAACTGCACGCTATATGTCAGGTATCGATGACCCGGCTGGTTGGCAAAACAGGGTGTCTTGCAAGGCCTCGAACAATGGTCGACGCAGCAACAGCTCCCCAAAGACACAGCCAATGCTCCAGATGTCGATCTCACTGCTATAAATCCTGTACAGCAGTGACTGCTGATCAAAATCGTCGAGCCAACCGCACAAATTATACACTTCCTCTGTCCAAGCAGAAGTTCTGGAGCGCGGTACCAAAGTGATTGGACCTCGAATCTGCAGCAGTGTGGAGGAAGCCACGCACACGCACACACGCACATGCGGGGCTTGCATGCTTTAAACTGAAGAGTGTGGATGATGGTTACCGGCAAACTCTCCACGGCATAGAAAAAACTTTCTGCACCCCACGATTGTACCCGATTAGCACGCTCTCTGCCCAAAGCACGCCCATCAAACAAGCCATGCGTCACGCTGGGTGTAGGGGCGCAGCGGCCTCAGAAATACAGTGATGATGTTTCGGAAGTACCCGCATGGGTGACACTGGGACGTGGACTGGCCAAAATGACGTGCCAAGCCGAAGTCACAAATCTTGAGGACCCCGTTCCTCAGCTTGGCCCAGCCGGCAGGGCCAAGAGTATGGTGTCGTTGCGTTTCAACCAAACCGTGGGCCAGCGCGGTTCTTCAGCCGCGTGACTTGTCCAAGAGAATGTTGGATGTTTTGAGGTCGCGGTGCAAAATCCAGCACTGGTGCAAATGCCCAACTCCACGCAGCAGCTGGATAAGCAAGCACTTCATCTCTGCGATTGCAAAAACGTGCTTCGAAAGGAGAACTTTCAACTCGTGCTCCACATACTCCATGACCATGAAGATGTGCTGCAGTGAGTTGCCGATAACCTTGAAGCAGTGCACAGAAGAAGAGACAAAGCCATGGATTAGTCGGAAGGCTTAAACGGGTTGGAAAGGCCTGGTGCCGTAGTACAGAACAGCCGCTAAAGCAAGAGGCATACCGGCATGCAATCTCGGAACAGAAGTGCGGATGCAAACAGCTAGCAGCTAGCATACCCATACAAGTAAGTAAAGGCTGAGCTTCGAGCAACCTCCCGGCATCGCACGACGTTGGGGTGCTGAATCTCGAGCAGGAGGGAGATTTCCCGCAATGAAGAGCTTGGGAAGCCATCGTCTGATTTAACCGCTGTCAGCTTCAGCTGCTTGAGGGCGACAACCTTGAACGCTGTCCGACTATGTTACTGTATCATAGATGCGACTGTCACGTCCAAAGATCTGCGCACAAGCCCCGCCCCCGGGTCGCGCGCGGATTCCTTCAACTTTTCGCCGATTATTCCGTCAACCACTGCGCGCGGATTCTGTCAACCCGAAAACGCGGATGCCTTCAACCTCAAAACCTGATTCCTTCAACCTCAGAACGCAGATTCATTCAACCATGTCCCCGGGAATGATTCCTTCAACCCAAAGAACTTCTTCGTTCAAACCATACACAACCTGATTCTTTCAACCCCAGCACGGAGATTCACTCAAGCATGGCCCCGGGAATGATTCCTTCAACCCAAACAAGTGCTTCGTTCAACCCATACAGAAAGAGTCGCTCCAACTACAGACACGCGTGCTACCCCAACCACGAGGACTCACTCAACTCTAACCACCCACACCGCATTGCGACTGGCGCCGGTCATTGCTTAAGGGTAAGGGCTGCATTATTGAATGTGACTGGCAACCGAGCGGCCGAGATGCGTTGACAACACTGTAGGGTTGACGGAAACGGGGGGGCGGAGTTGACGGAATCAGCACAGTATGCGTTCATGGAATCGGGCCATGGGGGTTGACAGAATCGGCAATATCTGGGTTGAGGGAAGCGGGCAATGGGGGTTGAAAGAATCGGCACAATCTGAGTTGAGGGAAGCGGGGAACATGGTTGAAGGAAGCGCGGTTGACGGAACCGCGCGAAGTTGAGGAATAAGGCTTGTACCCCCCCGCCCACAATGATGAGATGAACCAAGGCTGAGAGACCTCCTATCTGGGCGGTGATTCAACATGGGATTCGACGACGTGTACATACGTTGCGCAAAGGCTCATTTTGTCTCTGATACATTTTCATACCCAAGAACACCACTCCGACGGCAAGGTACTGGCAAAGAACTACGAGACGTGACTGCCAGCCATGCCAAACATGCCCTGACAGTGACATCTTCTAGCATGATAAGCGTAGATATGCACACGATTTGCATATGAACAAGTCGCAGTTCGCCTCTGAGGCAACGTGAAAACTGTGCATGTCGAGCGAGCTTCTGCAAGCCTGTGCGCTGCAGCTTCCTGTTTGCTTGAAAAGGGGTCTGTCTGGAAACTTGTCAGCCAAACGTCTTGGCGCGTCTTCCACAATCGTTCGGGGCAGCTGACGGATTCGTCGAAACTTTGATTGTACATGTCTCATTAAACCACTGTCTTCCACATCTGCTTGTCGCCTGCTGCTTGCCGCTATTTCCCAACGTCGCTTGAAAGCAACTTCGCGGCGACCTTCTGCTTCCTGCAGAAAACCAAGTGTCTGTACGTAAACCGTGTTTTTCCCAAGAAAGCTCACTAGCAGGTTTTCGCCGAGAAATCAAAACGACTTGTTGCCAAAAGCATGGTGCACGCATGTGCACGCCTGGGGCTTTGTAACGGCAACAGCAGTTCGATCCATCAACTGCCGACGGTTACGAATCTGAAGCTTCTTCGAGCACTGCTACTGTGATGATCTGCTACGTCGCTTGATGCAAAGCATCGATACGGCTTACATGGAAGCAATGAATGCAATGTATATGCGATTAAATGGGGTAAGTGACGGCAATCGTAGAAACAGAAAGGAATCAAGAACCCCGCTCGACCGGCCCCAACCCTAAAAAGGCAGCGCCCATGATGGCTTTGAAGACGGTTGCAACTCATTCTGAACTTCAGCGTGCAGCTTCTCCGCTCTCCACATCGCAGGCCCTGTAAACCACACCATAAGTGCCCTCATCGATTCGATTTAGCTTTCGGTATTGCTGAACACTCCGGCACCCAGGGATCACTGGCCCAAATCCAGCATCTTGTGCTTGCGTTCGTGGTCGTTTCGTTCCACTCAAGCTCATCGCCAAGCATCATGGGAACAACGGAATTACAAGAGTACTGTCTCTGAGCCCACTTATGTTACGGCTACATGAAGGCAGATTGGAGACAGACAATCTGTGCGGGAAACCTGCTGCACATGGGCAACCAATATCTTGCTGGAAGTATCTGATGTAGCCACAGCTTCTCTTACACTGGGCATGTATCTTGCGGACACGGCCACGGACAACATACATTCACGCAAGTAGGCGTCAGGAGAACCCGTGCAGGTTTGCAAACCACCATCAAGCACGAGCTAGTTTCGCTCTCTTGCGCATATCAAACATCTAAGCAAGAAGGCTGAGGGCAGCGGCCGCTGCTTCAAAACGTAAAGAGTCGTGTGAAACTACCAATATTCATGCATGGCTCGTACTCGTACAGAGCATGGCTTCGAAAGAAAATCAACCCGCTGTCACTGTGACTCGTCGATCCGCCATCCTCAGAAAGACGCTGAGACACAGCCACGTTCGAGACCGTCGGATGCTGCTTCTTGAACAGAGAAAATCTCGTCCCGAGCCCGGCACGCGTCCAATACGGCTATCCCTCCTGACAAAGGCCGATCTTTGCCTGACGAGTCAGCGAAGAACAGCTTTTGCTCACACCAATGACCAAGGCTCCAAACCATGAGACCCCAGCCTCCGCAGCCAAGGTCCGGTGGAATGCCCAAAAAAGCCATTTGCGGCCTTGCGCTTGGTGAAACAAACTTCCGTCAGGCTTCTTGAGATTCGCCGTCACATGTGAAGACAACGGGTACTGCATGCGGCAAGCGTTCTCGGAGTTTTCGGCTAAAACCTTCTGCAGGCGCCAGTCTCGTGTGGATGAGGTGGATAGGCATGGATTGGCTATTGATGCGTTTCTCGCCAATCGCAGCTCCACGCGACGGGCCAGTCCAGAGCCCCATTTTGGAGGATGCCGGTACTGCAACGGAGCATTTTGCCGAAACCGACAACCAAAACCTCGACTCCACACAGCCCAACGCCGACACTCCCGTGCTCCCACACCTTCCAACCTGAAACTAGAACCCCAAGGTTGAGTCTGAAAGCGGAGCAAAGCTTCGATTGAGTGTTTGGATGTAGGGTGAGGGGTCGAAAGGGCAGTCACTGAGCCATCAGATAAGGTCAAGGTTAACCCGCTCTTCCATTGAAACCAACAGCACTTTTGAGAATGACCGACGGCTATACTCGTGCTTCGGACGAAACTCTAAAGCCGAGCTGTTGACTCCAAACTGGGACATACTGCTCCCAAGAATCTGGCAGAGTAGGCTTTTGCTTCGAGGATTGGGCACGTGACACTCTCGACGAAGCTGGTCGACCTGCTCCATTCCGTGGGAATGGCAGCAATCCCCGGATTCCATCAGAAAATCCGAGATCCACGGTGCTGGCCTGCTGCGGGTTTCGGGGCACGAGGCCTGTTCAAGGCAAAGCGAGCACTGACATCAACTCGGGCCAGGCGTGAGCCTTGTGCAGGATGTGGTCCTAGACCTTATGCTGCTCGGTGCTCCACAGCTGCTTCATGCCATCTAAACTTGTAGCGCCGGGAAGTCAGCAACCCGAAGCCGGAACAAAAACCGACGACTCCTGTGCGAACTCAAACATCCCAACAGCCTCGAAATTCGTCGGCTTGCGTTTCTGATTATTTTCTGGAAACTGCCACTTGCACGTGTCCAGGACGAGGCTTTCGGTTTGTCCTCTTGCTCTTTGCGAGTTGGCGTTTAAAGTACATCTGCGGGCTTTCTACGGCAACTTGAGGTTTTGGGGCTTGGCGGCTTTAGGGCTTCAGGGGGTTGGGGCGCTGTACCGCTTAAAGGCCACCAGATGCCCCCTGATGCCGCCTTAGCGACTTTCTGAGTAGTCTAAAGATGCCACCTCGACCACATCATGCTGTCTCCAGAGCGACATGTACGGGAAATGGACCTTGAATCTCGACATGCTTGACCTTTGGAGAAGACCGGATGTGGCTCCAAATCAGACTCTGAAGATACCGCCTTTGCTGCTCAGACAGACGGAATGCACCAGCTTGCCAGCTTGCCAATTCTCCCCTGGAAGGAAGCAGACAAGCTTGGCAAGTAGGATCTCACCGTGGGAAGGTGCAAACGTCCGTGACGGAATGTCCGGGTTTGTCATGGAGTTGGTTCTGAAGGCTTGCCCTCTGGAGAAAAACTACCCACAACACCGCTGCGACTCTGCTTCGAACCTCTGGGCAACCAGAGGAAAGTCAATGTTACACCGAAGCCACTAGCTTAGAGTGGCGAGCGCATCATACCAACAAAAGCAGCCCCTCGCAAATCGAGAGCATTGCAAACCGATATTCGTTGAACGTGTGCAACTGCAGGTCCTCTACTACTGTTCGATGTGGCATTCGCGAACGGCTTGCAGACTGGACTTGCTTGAAAACTTTCCCGACGAGGGTCTTAATCTTGGCGGAACAAAAGAAAGGGTTGGCTGAATGCAGCAAGTATTGCCAAGGAGGCAACACTGACTTCCGGCGTGGCTCTTCGGATGAAGCCTCGGTTATTAAGGCAGGAACCTGAATACATAGCTGGACCTGGAGATCCCCGCCTCAGAAGACGGGGCAGCCTCGGTGACCTGAGCTAATGAAGCAATGGGGTGGGACCTCAGCTCCATCTCCTTCCCGACCTCTCTCGGCGGATTCGCTTTGATGTCTGTCGACCACGCCTGCAAGCAAAGTCGGGGTATGTAGCACAAGACGTCCGCAAGAACCCTCCACTTCGGTTGAATGCGGCTCAGCCAAGCAATGAGTAGCCAATCTTGTTTTGCCTACACGCGAGTTGGAATGAATGCCAGAAGCCATGCCTTCCTCCCCCTAAACATCTTACCCTGCTTGCTTTTCGACCCTTCTTGTATTGACAACAGAGCATCGACTTTTCCACGCACAAGTTTTTCAGGTCTGGCCCAGGCTTTGCGAGTTGACCGTGTCTACATGACACGAAACGAAGAACGGCTCCGCCACACCTTCCTGCTTCTGCTGCGGAAGGCACACAATCTTGGAAATCTTGAATTGCACACGGTGCTTAGGAATGATCGACCGGCAAAGGAACCCACGAGTCGGAGCAGCGCATAACCCCCCCCCAGCACTCCCACAAGCCACACCGGCAAGCATGCCAGAGACGCATCGATGGCCGCTTGGGCCACTTCAGGCGATGCAGGAGCTGAATGCGAGTAGATGCAACCGTCTCCATGTGGACCTTGGAAACGGTCGCTTTCAAATAGTTGCTGTGCAGGCGCAGCACTGCACTCAAGGAAGACGAGCGCGTAAGGTCCCAGCAGAAGCCCAAAACAGCAAAAAATCGACAAGGTATCATCTTGCAGGAGCGGGGCCTTGCTACAATCAGCAAACGTTGCAGCCAATTTCCATTCTGCAGGTGAAAAAGACGTTGTTGTACATTCGCGTTGCAGGTAGCGGGAGCCGTCGATTTCCTGACGGAACACATGACCTACTAGTACTTGACGACGCAAGTCAAAGAAAATCATTTCACCAAAAACTCTGACTACGATCGTCCAAATCACACCGTGTTGAAACCACCACAATAGAGGGTTTTAGGATGTTTTAAGCAAGTCTGTGAACGCTCCACTCGGGGAAAGTATTCCGGTACCTGTTAATTTTTGTGCTTACACAAACACCCGGAACACTAGAGCCAGCGCAAATGTACACCTTCCAAGACCTATGCGGGCCCGACAAAGTTGTACCAATAGCTTAGAGGAGCATGTTCAGGGATGCCTGACACCATGCCTGCTATCGATCTGGAGAAAGCACACATTGTGGCACAGTGTAATCATCAACAAACACACGAATCTCGTGTGTTCCACGTTCGATCCATGCCAGCACATGTCTCGTTCTTGCAGATGCTCTGCTGTCAGCATCGTGCTTTCGGCATACCGTGAACTAGTTCACAGCAGCATAATCTCGGTTGACATCTACACCACCACATTTTACCGATTTCTACGCAAAGCCGCAGGCCGCAAATACCTGGGCATGCGGCTGGCCGCAATGTAGCACGCCATGCTGCTGTGATTCACAACTTCGTCTCCCTTCACGATGCTTGAGAGCTGGGCGCATTTGCACAGTACAGCGGATCAAATTCTCGTCGGGGGCGGCATACTTCATGTACATATGTACAACTTGGCCTCAGCAGTTCAGTTGCCCGCCGCCGGACTTTCGGTTCAAGTGGAGGACGCACTGAGGCCCTCTACAGCCGACAGAAACCTTTTGCACGAACTCGTGGACAAAAGGTCAAGCCTGCCACCAGAACAGGCACCACACCTCACCACACTGCCTCTGAGAACATAAACATGCAGCCGTCTGGCGTCTCTCTGGCTCTGCATCTGGAGGGAGCTCTCGATTCTGAGAGGAAGCACTACATCTAGAATCTGCAACGTACAAACCGAACAACATAAGGTGCCAACATCGACCAGGCCCTTGGCACTGGGAATGTCCTAAACAGCAGAGGAGCGTATAACGTGTCGCCAAATGCACCTCCGCACGAGGCACCGACAACTTTCAATTCGAAGCCAGGGGCTGCGGGTGCAGGCGGCGTCGATCTGACTGAACCTGTTCGTCCACGATGTCGGAGTCGACAATAATGTAAAATTGCAAAGCCAATGACTCGGGCCATCACGCTGCGGATCCGCCAGTATGGGCTGCACTTGTGGCTGCCCTATAGCTGCGTAGCCTGATAAAAGCCGTGGGAACACACAGGCGCGTTGGAAGGCCTTCCGTGTCGCACTTTCCACAAATCATCAAATACCCGGAGCACGAGCGCATGTGCAGTTACACGCTCGCTGGAAAAGGCAGCCCAACGTGGCTCCACGACGAAGCGAAACAAGGCACCTAGTAACGCAAGTATAGTGTATTCACTTCGCCAATGTCGCTTGCACGTGTAACGCTTTAGAAACAGAAACCTTTCTTGGAGCTGGCAGACGGCCGGCCGGCGGTTTGCATTCACAGCGAATCTCAGCGACGAAGATGAACCCCAAGTCAAGAGGCTTCGGCTGGACAAACCACCAGTGCTGAAAGTTGTGCACGGAAGTATCCGTTGGCCCCCATATCGCCAAGCTGGTCAAACAAGGCTCAAAATTCCTACTTCTTTGCCCGGTGCAACGGCTGCGTTTCAAGGACGTCAAAAACCTCCAGTCCTGGCTTGCGGTCCGATTTTCCTCAAGGCTCCGATAATGCAGGGGAACTGATCAGCCTTTCATTCGGACGGCTCCGTGCTAAGTACATCAATCGATGTTGACATAGGCAGCCGAACCCTAAGGACTCTAAGCTCAGGGCTAGCATGTATTCCACCACCAATGGAGGCCACCCATGGCCTCAATACAAACGCTTCTGACACAACTTCAGCACGCAGGCACAGCTGAGACAGCTTGGGCCCAGCGTCTGACCGATTTGTCGGTCTGTCAAATCACATTATGTGTTCCAAGCACGCAAATGTGCGATAGTGCAGAAGCATTGATTGCATGACGGTCCATGCCTCCCCACTTCGTGGGACACGCACTGCTAGGTCGTCTTGGCCTTTGCAGAAACATTGAAAGGAAAAAGACGGTTCCTTGTTACCAGTAGCAGCTGTTTGTTGCGGTTTCAGTAAATTGCACAATGTACAAAGACTATCAGCAAAGGGCTTAGGGTACCGTAGGCTTCTGAGATGGTCAAGACATGTCAAGACGTGTGACTACCACCGACTACTGAAACACTGGACGTTTCCGAAGGCCGGAACGGGAAGGCCGCCTCGATTTGCCTTCCGAGGCAACGACCCTTTGCAGTTTGTCGTCTCCGGCTTGGCCTTGGAACCGGCAAATCCTCCCCGCAAGTGGCTCGGCAGGCTCAGCCAAAGCACCCGGAAAGATCCACGGACAGCTGACCTAAAGTGGCATCGTGCAACGAACACATTGGCAATGGCAATGCCGTGAGGTGTCTAGGGCCTCGGTCTTCGAGCTGTTGGCTCTTGTGGTGACATGCACGCAGCCTAAGTCAAACATTTTCAGCCGGGCTGTGCACTCTGAATCTGCTGATGCTGGGCCAAGTACTCAAATGACCGGCCGATGCTTTGCAGCGCTTTTCGCGGCAATGCATCAGAAACGCTTGCAACCAGAAATGCAACGGACGCGACGTTATGGGAAGGCTTGTCCGAACGAGAACGTGAGCAAACACATCGCAAGAACGATCACGAGAGTATAGACCGCTTTTCGGCTCGGCAAATGCACAAAATCCATCGCGCGGTCACATTGCCTGGGAAGGCATGTGATACCGACAAATGCGCCGTGCCACGGATACACGTTGCGCCGTATGAATGGTGAAACACGTTCCAGTATACCAGCAATAAACACGGAAAAGCGCCGTGGAGCTATGTTTTCTTTAAATCATACCATGTCTGACTTCCATTCTTCTTCTGCATCGCAACAGATACCTGAACCAGCAAAGCACGTGTGATGACCAGTTGCATCACAATGCGATGCAGACCTTCGCTTTCTCCACGTTGGCTCGGAAAGAAGAAGTTTCTGGCCTCGGATGTGCTCTCGCTTGTGATTCCATTCGTCCACAACACGAAATCGGTATCAACAAATCGGGTGCAGGGCACGATGTCACCGTACAGCGGCTCCACTTTACATACGTAAACAGCCTCATCGGACGATGGCGCGCAACACATCCAGGAATCAACCGTGTCGGGACGATGCAGGTGCACCCACCCTCTCCGCTTCGCCTCTGAGGATCGTGCGCCAGATGTTGGCGTGACCTGCCCGGCTCGTGCACCGCATGTAGGCGAACATACATGCTGAGACCCTTGCACAGCTCTTGCTGACAACTGCCTGAATAAGCAGTTTGCGCGGCGCGAAATCGCAAGTCACTTGCGACACATCTCGCAACACATCAGGTGGCAGCTGCACGTACACTTTCACCTTCGTGCCTGGCCAGTGTATGCCAGTATACTCCTCAACGAACATGACTTCCCAGTCTGTGTGGCATTTGGGCCCCACAACCGCGCATGAGCCGATCAGCCCATCAGCCCACCAGCCGATCAGCCGACCCTAACTAAGCCTTGAGCCCCATAAACCCTAAACCCCTAAATTCCTAAACTCCTAAATCCCTATTTGCATCCAGGCCTATTGCGACTGCCGGGTCCTAAATCCCTAAACCCGAAACCCTAATCCCTGAACCCCTAAACCCTAAATCCCCTGAACCCTAAACACCTTTTTGCATCCAAGCCTATTGCGACTGCCGGGCTAAATCCCTAAACCCTTCAACCCTAAATGCCTAAACGCTTGTAAACCCTAAATCAATAAACCCCCTAACCCTAAACCAATAAAACAACCCTAAACCCGACCAGCCGATCGGCTGATGCGCAGTTTGGAAACCACTTTGCGAGCACAAAGTAACTTCCGCTTTAAACATGTCAAGTCCACCATCGTCGGTCCACGAGAAATTGCGCAACGCGTGGACTTGTCGTTCGCTGCTTTGTTCAGATTGACCGGCTTCGACCTCCAATTTGACTGGCGGCCCGCCTGCATGATAACAGTGCATCCCATGCAGCACTGGGTTTTTAATGTCTCGCATGGCCTGTGACCAGCCCAGGTCCAGAGATCACACGTGCCTCCGGCGGCACCTGACAGGCCGCGTATTTGTCGTGCTATAACCGGCTAGCTCCGACCAGCACTCACCAGTCAAACCCTTTCAATCCTGTTTAACCGACAGCACCTCGAACTTGCGGTTGTGTGCATAATAGTATGCATTTTCGCCTTGCGATCTTCGGCCAAGCGAAAGAGCTGACCACACGTACATGAACTTTGCAGGGCCAGCCTTTGGATTGGATGTTTTGTCTCAGCGCAGATGCCTGACCCGAACAAACTGCATGCACAAATATACATATATATATATATACATCCGCGAAACGCATCACAGAGGCTACTGCAACACTCCGTTTTTTTTCTCTCTGCTGGTGCCGTCACAGTCTGTAGAACCCGCGACTGCGGGAAGTGCTTTGGTAAAACATCCGGATAAGTAAAGCTGGGCAACCGGTAAAACATCCGGATAAGTAAAGCTAGGCAACCTGGGTCGACTCCGGGTTGCTAGCTCCACTCCGAACCAACACGGTTCGACATCCCTCCGAATGCAGTCGAGAAAACTCTCGCTGCCCACCCTCATGGTAGAGAGGATAACCCAACTTGGGATCGTCTCCAAGAAAAAGGGAGGGAGGGAGGGCAAACAAAATCCTGCCTTTCTGGCTCATTTGCCAGGCTTGAACCAAAAGGCATGATGACGAAAGCAGATGATACATGTGCACCCAAGCCTGCCAAACTCTACACATGACATGTATGTATACATATACATATACATATACTGCGTGGGGATTTGATCCTGGTAATGTTCTGTATCGCTCACCCCACAAAGAGCTGTATTGACTGTTGGCGTGGTTGCCTTCTACAAGCTGGATCACCGTTACTTCCACTTCCACACACGCACTCCTATGCAGGCAGATCCAACGTTCGCTCGTTTTGCACACTCACGGCCGGCGGTGGATCGTCTGTGCACGGGATAGCTCTGTCTACTCGGAGGATCACAAAGATTATAGCACTTTAGCTATGGGCAATGCTTTCTAGAGCTTGTGCTCATTCTTGAGCCAAACGTTGCATGGGCGGTCATACTGAAAGGATGGATAGGCATTGCGGTGTGCGTAGCACTACCACAAGCCTACTCCCAGAGACGAGGGACGCGTAGCGTGCCCCCTCTCTTATAGTGACACCTTAGAACTTGACAAGGCATCGCAGTCCGTTCGCACCCCCCATGAGTTGCGTCTCCGACGCTGCTCACCCGGAAGATGGCACGATAGGAATATCAGAAAATTTGTTCCGCCGCAACTTTGACGTATAGATCAGAGCTTTTGCATCCCAATTAGAAACGTTGTGACACTCAGCTACGTCGGTAACGATCCCCTGAAATGGCAAACGAATCAGGCGTCACCGAAGAAAGAAGCATTCGCGATGGAATACCACATGCGAAGCACAGAGGTCACATGCTGGAAGATGATGCAGATCATGCATTGTCTCGCCACCATCTTCGCGTTGACGTAGGATCGCGTTCCCAGGGCCGGAGGTTCTCCTCTGGATACTGGTTCCTTTGCTTTCCTTTGTCCTTGCCTTTGTTTCGGCCTTTGCCGGCGATGTAGTCGTGGTAGGAATTAGTGTTCCATCCACCATGTTGCTCATCTCCGGTTCTCTCACGCCCTTTTGACGGTCCCTTTGCTGAGGAAGCGCTTGCACGTTCCTCCGTAGTGACTGGCGTGTCCATGATGGAAGTACCACCCGGAGGGAGATACTCTTCAGCCGAAATGTGATGTAATGCTTCAGGACGTCGAGTATTCGGATTTTGCTGTCTTTCAACTCTAGACTTGACCAATCTGTCCATGAAGTGCGCTGGCATTTGCACGTTGTGGTCCACCAGCAATGCAACGGTCTGGACGGAATAATCTGCATGAGTCAAGAGGATGCCGACCGGATCGATGTACAGAAAGTCCACTGGTCCAGTTGGCGTGTTTCGTAGTACCGAAAATTGTTGATGTCCTGTCACCATCGGGATAACCTCACATAAGACGTTGAGGCAACAAAAATGCATTGCCTTCACGTCTTCATCCTTGTTACTCTTCAAGTACGTGGTTGGATTGAAGTTATCTCTGCCGATTCCCATCATGTTGGCTCCCCGTGTCAATAGCGAAAGCATCTGGTTGGTCCGGAAGCGCTTCAAAGTGTAAATCCCGTTGGGATCATACGACTTGAGGTTTTCAGGCTCCTTAGCAAAGCGAATGATCTCCTCATCAGTCACGTCCCTGCTCACACCTGTTTCTGTGTCCACTCCAGCCAAAGTTCCCCACTTTCCGAGCACATCATAGCGTTGGCCAAGTGCGAAATTCTCTCTCATCTGAAACAACGGCATAGTCGCCCATTTCGCGAATCCTGACCAAGCTTTGTAGATGGTTCTGCACACAACAAACGCCATGTACGAAAGAGCGGCCATGTTGGCGTCGATGCAATGGGCGTTCCGTTTGCCGTGGTAGTAGGGCGGCTGCATGGCAGTGCGGGCGATTTGCAGTTCAGGGTCGATGTTCAAAGACTGACCGGCGATGAGGACGGGACGTCGTTCCTGTGCCACTGCATCTGGTACTTGGTCGTCAAAGTCCTCTCCCGGTTCCGTGTCCATTTCTTCATCAGGTTCCTGTTCTGGATCGTCATCACCAGCAACGGACGGTTCTGGAATTGCTTCGGGTTCCGCAACCGATTCCGCTTCCATGGCTTCCTGTTCCTCAACGGTTGCCTCAGGTACTGCTGCTGCCGCAGCCTCCATAGTCTGAGCAATGAAGTCACTTGGGATCTCCGTTGGAGTATCCCGTTGTAGTATCCGCAAGAAACGAATTGTGACCAGCAGGATGTGCATCGAGAAAAGCATGCTGGAACAATGTTGTAGCACGCTGGGCATACCCTCATTCTCCTGCCATCCTCATCTCTTCGTAGATCTTCGGGTCGCCAGTTCTTGATGACAAACTTGATGCCCTTGTCCATGTAGTGATGTCGAACTGTGTTCTCCCTGTGGACCTCCAAAACAGTGGTAAGGTCTCGCATTATCTGCTCCTTGCTTGTGTCGTGGGGTCCAGGAGGCATCTCGCAAAGCAATTCCATGATCTTGCTTGGTGTTCGATATCTCTCGAATTCAGGAAGCAATGGAGATCCATTGTAGTCCAACACCATCTCTTTCTCCAATCGTTCATCATAGATCTTTTCCACCAGAGCGAACGAATGTGTATCCTGAGGATTCGGGACGCAAAACCATACCTCCTTCACGAACTGGAACGATATCGTTCGACCAAGGATGATGACACCGCTGTCAGTGATACGTCCACCTTCTCGGGCAAGATCTGTCGAAGCGACATGGAGGACCACAAGGGGCATGTGCTTGGCTTGCGGCCCGTGTACCCGAGCTTTGGTCGTTGCGTTCCGGTCATCGAACGGCGCGAATACCCCCCAGTAACTGTGGAGTCTGCCACCTCGGTTGTCCTGAAATCGACGCCGCTGGTCGAAGTCCCCGTCAGGATCCTCCGAACCAGGCATGACGCCCTGCAGAACGATAGAATCCAAGTTGCGGCATGCCGTAGCGTGGAACGCGCCCCCTAGACGTGTCAAGAGGGTCATAGATGGAGATATTGCGAACCGGTCCTTGTCCAACTGAAGCAAATTGTTCTGGGGATCGGAGTGCGTGGAGTGACCACTTGTGGCCCTGACAGCCCATGGCTTCACCCAGCCGCTGCAAACGTTCAGGTACCTCTGATTGTGTCGGCCACGGTCGTTGTTCTGGATCTCTGTGATCTGATCGGGAACCGACACCAACATGTTCGAGTTCGCAGATCCAAGAGTCTCTGTGCCGGGGTTCTTCACTCTCACACCCAAGAATTGTAGCCGGATCTTGGCCTTGTGGCGTTTCGTGGCTGCAAGCATATTCCCCTGGAACAGTAGCTGCAGTCTCTCATTGTACACTCTCTTCCTTTGGTACTCGTCGGTCCTTGACACCGCTTCGGTAATGCGTCTACTTTCGTGGGTCCATAGTTGCTCATGCCTCACCAAGTCCTCTATCAGCACCCACCCTCCTTCATCACATCGAATAACGCTGCTGAATTCCACTTGGCACCGGTTGTCAAGCCATTCCGAACCTGGGCGCCTGGCAATTCTGTGGCGTAAGTCAGATTGAATGCAGGATAGCGCCCATTCTGCGTTCATTCTTCGATGACGGTTGATGTTGCGAAGGACCACTTCATTCACGATGTCCCATCGATTGTTGATGAAGCTTGCACCTTTGGTTGGGATCAGATCAAGAATTCCGCATCGGATTGGCCTTCCGCCGCCGATGGATTCGTAGCCTGGATTTGCCCATTGTTGAGTATTCTCATCATACTCGAAGCTTGGACGATCTCCTCGTTGAGGCAGTCGTCGGTCACGATGGTCCGAAAGCTGCTCAATGAGATCCACCACCCGCTGACTGTTCTCGGGTCCCATTTCCCGCAGCGGTACACCACAAGCGTCATGTAAGCCTCGACGGTTCTCCACTTCCGTGCATAGGTTGTGCTTGTTCTCGTAACGAATCAAGACCACATCACCCCGAACGGCTTCGCCTCCGCGTCGCGGTCGGGCTTTGGCCTTGGGTCGTCGGTCCGAGGAAGCAACACTCACATGGTCTGTGGTATCAACGTCCATTGGCTCAGCTTGTTGCGTAGGTGGTCGACGTGGATAACGAAGAAGGCTGTCCCTGATGACCTGAATGCTTCGAAGTATCAGATCTCGGGTTGCAGCATTTTCGGTGCAATCGGACAGATGATGTGATTCATTGCCACAAGCAATGCAGAACATGAAGTTATTGCTCCCGACCGACATTTCGCCCTGAGCAAGAATTCCCACATAGTCCTGAAGCTGTGTGACGAGCACCTCACGAACTCTCTGCCTGGGATCGGGCTCTTCAGCACCCTGTTCTTCTTCAGGTTGCGCATCCACGTCAACGTCCTGTGTCGGTATTGGTGGCGCAACTGAAACCCCTGGATCGCCCGTGACGTTGTCAACGGCCTGTGTCTCGTCGTTCCTTGCAATTTCTACGGGGTAGACATCACCATCGACGATCACAGTGAAATCAATCACGAGGTCAGCGGACAAGTTGTTGACGATCTCAGCGACTTGTTCATTCTTCTTGGGTGGTGTCCTCTTGCGTGGGGAGTCAACCGTGATGAGCTCGATAGCCTCGGCCGACGCATAGCGGAAGAACGATCTTTCGATTCCTCTCACGCACGCATTTGCCCCTTCA